ATCGCGCTTTCACACTATCGCTTCATCGTCATCGCGCCATCGCATTATCGCGACATCGATTCAGTCGATGCTCGATAATGCGATAGAGAACTACATGGCCCTATCCGGATTCCATAGAAAAATGTTTCAGTGACTTTTTTAAAAAGTGAATGTAAAGTTGAAAGCGCGGTGCGGAATTTGAAAGGTTGTGGCTTGTGTTGTTTCGGTATAATAAACAGATTATTGCATGCATGAATATTAATAATGTTCGGGAAATATGAAGATGTATTCAGCCAAGAAAATTCATAGTCGGGCGAAGCACTCGTAGAATATCATAAAATCTTCCTCACGATTATGCAATATTGGTACTTTTATGGACACTTGAGGTACACCTACACTTATTTAATCTTATCAAATACTGTGCTCGACTTGATAAGCTGTTTTTGTCGTAACAAATTCAAAACAAAAATGAAATAATAGAGCCATGTTCTAATTTTTGTTCTAAATTTTTAATGCATCAAGGTTTAGACATGTTCTAATTTTTGTTCTAATATTTTACACCCACGCGTGCGGGTAAAATCAAAAATTAAATATGACAGGTGATGTACTCTTACTACCTATAACATGTACGATAAACCGGTCAGATATATGTACGTGAAAGTAGTGACACCCTATCAAACTACTTTATGTATGAGGTTTACTTTTCCTCCTGAATCTAGCATTTCTTTATGGGATGGCAGCTTCGTTGTTAATATGTTGCCCTAATCGAATTCGAGCTACATATTGTAATATAGCTAGAACCTTAATTTTGTCCACGAATGCTCTTGCGATCTTAATGAAACTTCACAGAAATTATAATCACCAACTTTATACAGTAGTTGTGCTTTCCACATCTTAAACTTTCGGTAACAGCTACCATGAAAACAGACGAAATATCACGTGTATACAAACTCTTCTATTCCATTATTCTCAGTGACTGCCAAGCAAACCTTTGTACATGTAAGCTTTCTTGCAGCATCTCAAAGCCGTTTCTGTTAAAAAATGGGAAATTGTTTGGGGAAGTTAAAGGCTTTTTCTGTGGATAGAACTAATTAGTTTTCCCATAAAACTGTAGAAAAGTTGAGGTTTCGTGACCCTTGTGTTTGACACATATGAAACACTGTGCTTACTCCGCAGATATATATTTTGCGATATTATACAAAAAAAATTTGAGTCATTAAATTTACACCATTGGGGCCAGTTCGGGGTGACATATGCAATGATATCGATTGCTTGCAATAGCAAAGTTTCTAGTTTAACTTCTTTTCTATATATTCTAGTACTAAACTTGATTATCATGAATACGTACAATATCAAAACTATATATTTACATCATGATATATCTTTAATATTTACTCTGCCTTCTTTATTTATTTATTTATTTATTTATTTATTTATTTATTTATTTATTTGTTTGGTTTTTTTTTTTCATATTGAACATATTCAATAATACATATTAATAGCTTTCCTAATACATAAGACAACATCCCAATATCAGCCGACTGTGAGACAAGGATTACTTCATACCCTTTTTCAGACTTTAACAATCAAGAAAGATATTTTTTCATTTCTATAAAAAACTAAGTAAAATTAAATTCATTTATGAAACAAAAGAAATGAAAAATTCCCTGGGGCCGGGTTATATATACTTGGGTGGGTGGATGGGGATATGGGGTTCCTGTCCATAAGTATACCTGTGTGCTGAACATGCTCTTGGTTACTGAATCAGTTCGGGGACAGGCTCCATATGCAGGTAATAATGATTGGAATAGTTTCGGAAAATTGAAGATGGAAAACCTGAAGTAATCCACTTTTTCGATGCAGTTAAGTGCTTATATATGGAAATAAAATTACAGGAAAAATTACGGATCCAGATCCTGACGGTGATCCCTTTTTCTGGAGCGGATCCAGTAAAAGATGTTTTAAGCATCCGTTTATTGCAGGCCGGAGGACCGAGCTGTTCTATGTATATAAGTTTAAGTTTTGGTGTATGGGATTGAGGTGGGAGAAGTTATTCAGAATTAAAGGTTAACTATACATTAAAAAGATTATACATCAGAATGTTCTTTCCCTTTAAAAATTACAAGATACACAATTTATTTACTTCCATGAAGTACATCTTTAAAATTATATTTGTTTTTTAGAGGTGTAACGATACAGCAATACATTGATCGTATTGATCGCAAGGGCTCACGATACGTGTATCGTATCGCCATGTATGTATCGTGATAGAGTACAAGATAATTTCCATTGTTTTGTTTGAAACCTCTACATACAACCTAACAAATTTTAATGGCTGAAAAAAGGCAGCAAAGAAAAAATACAATGTCAAGACTATAAATCCACCTTTTATTAACTTTGGTCAGGGGTATCAAGATATACTTTTTATATTTTTATATAACTGTGGAAGGTTAGCAAAGAATAATATGTTAAGATAACAGTTAAATTGTTGACAGCTGTATCATGATATATGTTGTATCGCATGACTGTAAAGTGATATGTATCGTATCGTTAGGTAGCTTGTGATACTCAGGCCTAGTTTTTTTTTATATGTAATATACAAAGTTGCTTATCATTTACAACAGGTCCCTTTTTTTTTAGAACATTAAATCTTACTTATCGTATAAAAACATACGTTACACAGTTTGTGTTTTATATTCATTAAGTCGAATATATTTTTGATGATAGGTGATATGATAGGTGATACATGTATCTGATTCTAATTTATATTTTATGCAGCTAACAGTTACTTGAGGAAGTGATAAAGTATAAAACGTTATATCGTTTTGTTCGATTTTCATGCGATTAAAAGCTTTCCGTAAATCTTCTCGGCTATAGTCTTCATCATTCAGACGCATGCCTTTGTCACACAAATCGAAGCGGTTTGATGATGAAGACTAATTTTCATTGTTTATTTACTTTATTTCTCGGGTGATATTTGATGGCAACATCAATGTTTTTCTTGTGTTAAAATGTAGAAACCATCTCGGGAAAAATATGTCAGTTTACAAAGTTTTCTTATAGTAGATTATCGAATACTAATCGCATTACATTGGGAGCACATGTGTTGTTCTGACCATCCATTCTAGAAACAAATCGTTTTCCGTGGTAATATATAACAGCGGGAATAATCCGGGACAGCAAATTTGATCGTCATTATCAGATTTACGTACCAAAGTATCTTAATTTGCGTGTGCTCTTTTATTATGAAGACATACATGTATATCCCTAGTGGTGGATTAAGGGGTTGGGCTGCTTTGTATTTTTACTAGACTGTCCTTTTGAAATCTTTTTTCTCGGATTATTTAAAAAGTCAGCCATTAACACATAATATATGTCCTTACTGTAACTTTGAAATTAAATTTAATTCAAGCAAAAAATTACACAATAAAGAAATACAATTCGTTAAGTAAAATTTTAATCTTAAATCTCTTCATTTTTTTTTTTTAAATTTTAAACTTCAACTTAGAGTAAATTATGAATTAATTACTAAGTCTTGTTTACAACAATTGGTATAAATATTCCCCAATTTTTACCATAGTTTTTTAAAATAATATACAAAATATATACATGTATATTATGTTCAATATGATTTATAGACTTCTCTTATTTTGATAGGTAATATGCATTCGTTAATGAAGGTATCTCACTTTTAATTGCTGGGAGGGGAGATGTCTTTGTAAAGATTTTCTTTTAATTCTTTTAAAATTTTTTGTTAATTATAATCATAAATGCGGAAGCAATTTAGTTCCTATGGTGCAGGTCATAATTCTCTGATATCCAGTAATTGGTAATACATAAGATAATGATCGCTTCTAGTCATGCAGGTCAGATTCAGAAACTGGTCGAGTTATAGGGTTATGTAATTTTCAGACTCGGGATAAGGGACACAGTTTTACGTTAAACGCAAAAGACGCTAGAAGAATGATGTAAGTAACATATCTTTGTGTTTTGTGGGCTTTTAAAAACTTATTTGAATTTTGTTTACATTTATATTGTACAGTATGTAAACTTACTAAGATTTCTTTTACGGGAATCAGCTGGCAATCTCCGGAATTCTAAGCATGCTAAGTGTGAAGGATTTCTGATGGTGACTGTAATGGAAATCCACTTTGTCATGTACAGTAAAACTGTACTATATTTATATGTTTGTTTGTGGTGGTGGTGGGGGGGGGGGGGAGGGGGATATTACTTACATTCTTACATACAAATTGATATTTTCAGCCATTTAAATTAGAAAACATTTTATTTTTTCATTTAAAATAAAAAATGCAGATTTTAAATGAGTGTTGAACCAATTCAAAAACTGTCTGTTGCATCTGCCCGGCAGCTTGACTGCAGCCAAGGGCGGGTTACACCCCCCCCCCTTCCCTTTCAGGATTTTCAGATGAGTAAAGATACTTTCCAAGAGAGAAGATCCCTTTTTATTTAGATAATACTGTTTTGTGCTTAGCTTTTCGCAATTATTTTAACTTTGCTTGTCAGAAAGTTTTGATTTGGAATTTTTTCATAATTTTTTTTTCCGGTGAATAATGAATTCCTTGCCAAGAATTGTGTCACAGTGAAGTACACTTGCGTACCCAGTCTTACTGAAATTGAACAAAAACTTACGAGGAGTGGCGTTTTGTGTTGATGAATTGTTTACAGACAAACAGAGAGGCGGACGATGGACACTTTACCACAGCATATATAAGCTCCTCTGTATTAGACCAGTAGAGCTCAAAATTACACTTCCGTTAAGTAGAAATAAGACAATGTGCCAGTATTTATCCCCGCTTCTCAAAGAAAATTGTGCCGAGCTAAATGCATACTTGCTTCAAGAACACTAACGACTTGCAGCATATATACAGGTGTTATAGGCATTGTTCAGTAGCAGCCTAAACCACACAGCGTAAACATGAAGGTAAGAGTGAGAAAGAAAATTGGTGCATAACCGTATTTATTTCATTTTCAGGAGGTTGTATTTTTACACGTCTAAGAAAATGGCGGATGTTGAGGAGCGACTTGATGATGTCCTAGAGAAGGTTCTGGAAGAATCCGGGGGTTTGGGGAAACTTCAATGGCTGCTTATATTCGTCATCGTCGGAAGTAAACTCGCAATCACATGGAGCATGTTCATGATGACATTTGCCGGAAGTACACCTGATTGGTGGTGCGTTTCGCAGAATGGAACTTCCGGTTTGAATGACAGTAGAATAGAATCACTTAGATCATGCAGGCCCCCTGTCAATACATCCGCCGCTGGAGATACCTGTTTATCAATACTCTTTAGCAATGAGAAAAACACAGTAGTAAATGAAGTAAGCGAATTAAAATTCCTTTAAATTTTCTATTTCGTTCATTCAGACTTTGAAAATATGGAAAGAATGCAAAAGAATAAATGTGAAAGGAGAAAAGTACACAATTTTTAAAAAGAGTGACTTTAAATTTGTTACATTTGCAATTCTACTTTCGGCAAAGTTATAATTGAAAATAAGAATGAAAAAATTAGCAATTTGTCACATCAGACATTAATGAGAAATCTTACAAAAAAAAAAAAACCTAATCATATCATGACCTTGATTTCAGTGGAATCTGATTTGTGAGGAAGAATGGATAACCTCTATCATAACTACCATGCAGTTTGTCGGACTTCTGGCCAGTGGCCTCATTGCGGGTCAAGTTGCTGACCTTATTGGTCGCAAACCCACCTTACTCCTGTCTCTTACCCTCCTGGCCTCCAGCAACCTAGTCTGTGGATTCTCCTACTCCTGGGAGATGTTTGCTTTTGCTCGAGTCCTGATTGGATTAGCCTGTGGGATGTACTTGACGGTGTTCTTTAACTTTGTGTTGGAGTTTATTCCTACTAAGTACCGAGCGATGATAATGGCGATCGACACATGGCCGGTTAATGCAGCACTCTTTGGTCTCATCTCCTTCTGGTTAAAGGACTGGCAATTTCTACATTTTGCCACCTCTCTTATAACTATTCCATTCCTTTTAGGGACGATGTAAGTTATTTCCCCGCGGGGAAAATGATCATCAAATGATGATTTGTATCTTTTAACTTAAATACATGTAAGTCATTTTCTGTTTTGATAGATTTTTCCTGTGAAAACGCAAAAATATCTTGGTTACGTATCACGACATTTTAAACTGATTTTCAGTATGGTGCCTGAGAGTTTCAGGTGGCTGGTTTCTCACTACAAAACGGAGAAAGCCAAGAAAGTTATAGAAAGAATTGCTTTCATTAACGGTAAAGAGAAACCAGATGTGACGAAACTGATTGCAATAACCCAGAAAGAGGCTGAAGCGGAGGCAAAAAAGAGTTATTCTATTTTGGACATATTCAGAGATTCAAAGCTGACAAAGCATTCATTCTTGCTTTGGTTTATTTGGTAAATTTATAAAACTAATCTCTTTGAGTTGAAAATTTAGAACTCTTATAAACAAATTTATCTCTGTTTATTTTCAACCCCTCTATCAAATAGAGAGAGAGAGAGAGAGAGAGAGAGAGAGAGATTGAAGCAATTCTAAACTCTAGCTGATTATTGATATCCTTTTCCAGGCTTTCTAGCGGTTACTCTTACTACGCCATTTCATTTGGTGTGGAGGAGCTCTCTGGAGATCTCTACCTTAATATAATTCTCCTAAGTACAGTGGAAATCCCGGCACAGGCAGTCACGTGGTACTTCAATAACAGGTGAGTACTACTAGACTTACAATTGTTTTATTACTCGTATATTCCGTCAATCTACCTGATCATGACACACACATGCACAGAGAGAGAGAGAGAGAGAAACGTATCGAACTTAGCTTTTTTGATGAATTGAAAGATGAACATATCGCCAAACCGCAGATATGCTTAATGTTTTATACAATGTACCTCTGTTTATGTTTAATGTACTGATAATGTTGTACAAGGTTTTATCGTTGTTTTTTTTAGTATTGGTAGACGGTGGACATGCTTTATGTTTTATATGGTCGCTGCTGTTGGTGGTTCAGCGGTTGGGTTTGTTCAGGTTCTTGGTGCGTGTAGACGTGTATTTATTTGTGAAATATTTAGTAAAGAAGGATTTCAAATATCAGTGTCCATAAAATCACATACTTTAAACTTGATTTTTTTTTCTCTGGTATTTGAGACACTAATATAACTTTCTGTTGTTCTTTACAGATCCTACAAACAGCCATGCCATCATTAACGTATTTGCTATGATGGCTAAGCTGGGAGTAGCGGCAGCGTGGGCCGCTCTCAAAACGTTTACAACGGAGACGTATCCCACCGTCGTCAGGTGACTTATCCAAGATATGCTCAGTATATCATTAACTCACTTGAGCCGAAGGCTCAGGTGAGCTTTTCTGATCACATTTTGTCCGGCGTCCGTCTGTCTGTAAACTTTTCACATTTTCGACTTCTTCTCAAGAACCACTGGACCAATTTCAACCAAACTTGCCACAAAGTATCCTTGGGTGAAGGGGATTGAGATTTATTCAAATGAAGGGTCAGGCCCTTTTCCAAGGGAGGATAATCACAAATTAGTGAAAATTAATAGCATCAATTAAAAGTCTTCTTCTCAAGAACCACTGGGCCAGGGAAGATGAATATCATGTGTAATCATCCTCATGTAGTGTAGATTCAAGTTTGTTCAAATCATGATCCTCGGGGGTAGGGTGGGGCCACATAGTCGGTAAATTAAAGAATGACACACTAACGTACATGTAAATTTGAATAAACAGATTAAAGTGCTTTCAAAATTAAATCCACAACCAGAGGTAGATGATTTTAAAATGTATATGTTAGATTGAACATTTTTGTCTAAGTTATATACTGACTTTAGTCTAAAAATATCATTTCAATTTTAGGAAAATTTGTTTCAGACTAATTCCATTCTCATTTACAAAACATACATCCTTTACAAAGCGTGGTTCGTTTTATTCTTATAGAAACATTGGTTACGGTTGCGCAAATTCAATTTCCGGTGTTGGCGCCATGGTAGCTCCACAGATTGTTCAAATGGTAAGACTTGTCTTGTAAGACTGATCTTATTATATAAATTGTACATGCTTATTTGTGTTCTTTGTCGTAAAACTTACATTGTATATTAGTGATGACTTGGGGGGGGGGGGCATTTTGCAGAATTGAAGATAACTCGCTTACCCGATATTTTTTTTATCGAAATACACACAGAGAAATGGATCAAATCACTTTGACCTTAATTTTCATAATTTTTACACTTAATATAGTATTTCAATAACACATTGAGGGAAGTCCCCCCCCCCCCCCCATGTTGAAGTTCCCGACTTAGTTATTTAACTGTACTTATATGCATCATTTTCACTTTTTTTTGCTGTAATCATACTATAGGTCATGCATTTTGCAGAGTAAATCATTTCCAGGATTGATGTATTTCCTCTGTTCCGGCCTGGTGTTTTTGTCCGCCATATCAGCGGTTCTAGTTCCGGACACAAAAGGGAAAGTCATGGAAAACCAAATCCGGTCTAGAAAATCTGAAATCTTTAACATATCCATTGGTAAGGAAACTAAGACAGATTATTATGCTCAAATTTCTACTCAACATTATGTAAATTTCTTTAACTTATATAAAAATCAATGTATGTTAAAATCAATAAACAGAATGAAAATTGAACTATTTATCAATTAACACAATGTAACTATTATTTTCATTTTCGGGTTATTTCGAGTTATTTTCAAAATGTCTCAAGATATAAATTCTATATTTATAAATATATTCATTTATTTATTTATTAGAAGTAAATGAAGGAAAGATTGCGTGTCCGACTGAAACACTGGAGCGGAATATTCCAGAGGGAGAAGTCATTATTTAGCAAAATTGTCTACGTGGAGAAATCATTATTCAGCATAATTTTTTTGTTTATATATGTATCTCAATGTATTTCCCGTTGCCTCTATTTGTACTTTGACAATATTTACAGACCTTTGTTGATGTTGTTGTTGTTGTTGATTATTAAATCACTAAAAATATTTCACTTTTTATTTTAACAAGTCCATTTCTTAGATAAGTCACTTCTTTTAGTGTATCTGGATTTAGGTGCAAATTCTGTTTTAGTTAAGTTCTTGGAAGTTTAACTTTCTTTGAATAAGCTTAGTATTTTTTTTTTCATGTCCCTGTTAAATTGTCTCAACCCTTCAACTACTTAATACGTTATATTTTAGAATTTCTAATATTCCGGTATTTTACCCAGAGTTACCGATCGTTACCTTTAACTCGCATCTCTGACAACACTCGTCTTCAAGGAACCTCTCTACACTGCATCCTAATTTCAGGGTACTTTTGTGTAGTTAGACTGACCCACAATTTGACACAAAATAGAATGAATTATAATCTGCACTGTATGACGTAATTCAAAAATAAAACCAAGAATTATAAACATTATATTAGAACAAAATAGAGTAGTTGAAAACTTTATTTGTTTGTATTTCCTCCATTTAAACAAGCAAAAGCTTTTTTTCTTTATCATAACATGTACTTCATTGTCTTTGAAGATTTTTTCCTGGATAAAAAATGCAGGCTCCCTTCATATTAAACATGAATTACATGTGTAGTTAATTTCAAAATATCCCCCTTTAAAATACATAATTTTCTCAAAGTTCAAAAAACAGTTTTCATCAGTGTATAAGGGTCCTTTAAGCTTTATATAAGACTTCTTAAAACGTGTAAATCAATGTAGACCACTCTGTGTACAGTGTGTACATGTATCACGGAATGATCATTGGAATTATAGTTGATTTTCTTATATGTGACTGCATTTAAACCTGTATTTCTTTTTATTATATATGGACTATAAATTGACCAAATTGATACACATTAATGATAGTATAAGTTAAACCACGGGTAGCGACCACATTTGGAGGGAAATATAGAAATTGGAGAAAAGAGGTGAAAAAAAATTAGAACGATTTATAGATTTAGTTAAAAACATTCAAGAAATATTTGGCAAGACTGATCCGCAAGATTCATGTAAGCCCATTTTCTGCATATAGCTTGCAAGCATTGAAGAATGTACAGAAAACTACTATGATAATTGTATTCTACTGATTTGGACAGTAATAAACCAAAATCTTACTATAGGAAATTGTCAAAGTATGTATCATAACATACCGGAAACTCACCTTCGTTTGTCATTGGACTTCTACACAATTTTGAAATTCCATATCGTAAACTTCTACGCAGTAATCGTTACATACATTATTTAATTAGTTACGGCTCTTAGATTCTAAATTTACTCTTGATTTATGGCTCAGATAAATCTATTTAAAACAAGCATTCTGAGAGTATTGCATTAGCAATACTAGTCCCCTACCGGCAAGTGTAATCTGGTTTCCGTTAAGAATTGAAAATGCCATAATTCCGTCAAAAATTAATAAAGCGGAACAAAATGCAAACTTGATCTATAACTAATCAAGGTAAAGCTACATACCAAAAATCAGCTCAATATCTACAAGCGTTTAGAAGAAAATTGCGGAAAACCCTTAAAAATTGAGAAGGCCGTATTTCCGTCAAAAATCAATGAAGCGGAACGAAATGCAAACTTGATCTGTAACTCATCAATATACACTCACATACCAAAAATCAGCTCAATATCTGCAAGCATTTAGGAAAAAAGTGCGGAAAACCAAGTGGGACAGACTGACAGACAGACAGAGGGACAGACAGACAGACAGACGGACAGACAGACAGACGGACGGACAGACTCAGAGGAAACCTATAGTCCCCTCCGGTTTCACCGGTAGGGGACTAACAAGCATTCTGAGAGTATTGCATTAGCAATACTAGTCCCCTACCGGCAAGTGTAATCTGGTTCCCGTTAAAAATTGAAAATACCATAATTCCGTCAAAAATCAATGAAGTGGAACGAAATGCAAACTTAATCTATAACTCATCAAGGTAAAGTCACATAATAAAAATCAGCTCAATATCTGCAAGCGTTTAGAAAAAAAAGTGCGGAAAACCCTTGAAAATTAAAAAGGCCGTAATTCCCTCAAAAATCATTGAAGCGGAACGAAATGCAAACTTGATCTGTAACTCATCAAGATACACTCACATACCAAAAATCAGCTCAATGTCTGCAAGCGTTTAGAAGAAAAGTGCGGAAAACCAAGTGGGACAGACTGACAGACAGACAGAGGGACAGACAGACAGACAGACGGACGGACAGACTCAGAGGAAACCTACATTCCCTTCTGGTTTCACCGGTAGGGGACTAATAACCTCTAAGCATATGGTCTTGAAAGGTGCTGTACTCTGTGGGCATGGTAACTCAAATAAAGGAAACCCATCATATTTCCAATTGTATATGCGTTACATTTTTTCCGATAGATGAATCAATTCATTTATCGTATTAGACAAAATAAATGATGATAATAGTGAGCATTATAGATAAAATGGTAATTCAAGATTGCATTTTGTCATAAATCTAATACAAAACTATATCTCGGGATAAGCTCCAGCTAAGAGCACAAGTTCTTTATTAGTCCCCTACCGGTGAAACCGGAGGGGACTATAGGTTTCCTCGGAGTCTGTCCGTCCGTCTGTCTGTCTGTGCGTCTGTCCCTCTGTCTGTCTGTCAGTCTGTCCCACTTGGTTTTCCGCACTTTTTTTCCTAAACGCTTGCAGATATTGAACTGATTTTTGGTATGTGAGTGTATATTGATAAGTTACAGATCAAGTTTGAATTTCGTTCCGCTTCATTGATTTTTGAGGGAATTACGGCCTTTTTAATTTTCAAGGGTTTTCCGCACTTTTTTTTCTAAATGCTTGCAGATATTGAGCTGATTTTTGGTATGTAAGTGTATCTTGATGAGTTACAAATAAATTTTGTATTACGTTCCGCTTCAATGATTTTTTTTAAAACGGAATTACAACACTTTAAATTTTTGATGGGAACCAGATTACACTTGCCGGTAGGGGACTAGTATTGCTAATGCAATACTCTCAGAATGCTTGTTCTTTCAGGATCACAATACACATTATTAGTTTGACTCAACACTATAATTTTTTTTTTTTTTTTTTGGTTCTAATAGTCTTTGGTATTTGTAATTTGTATCCCTCTTTCGGTCACTTTGCGTGGCACTTCCATTTGATTCGCGCCTATTAGGTCCTCTAGTGCGCGGTCATTTGTCTCGTTGATACAGAAAATAGACAAACCGGAAATACACGTCACAACTCCACAAGTGAAGTACAGGAAGCCCTTATAGGTGGCGCTCTAATTAGTAAAATATTTGTTTACATTAATATTATTTAAAATTTCCAGATATTTTGAACTTCAATTATCACTTTGCAAGAACACATGGATAATTATTAATATACTCACTGTGCTGAGGGCCAAAGGGGCCAAAATAGGACCGATCCTACTCATCGAGCTGGCTAACCCGTACCCAGTGGTTCTAAAAGATAAATAAAATTCATTATCGCACAAATGATTAAGTCTCAGCGACTTTATGTTCAGAAATATAATTACGTTGAATTGTCTGAGTTTTATGCAATCTTTAGCATAAAAGTCTTGCCTTAATACAGTTGGGTAGCATTCAGTGGTGATGATTAACAAACAAGACCAAGCAATCCCACAGGCAAGCTTGGCCACAAAGGCAAATCCATTAATAACGGCCCAACTTTTGTTAAAATCTACAGGAACATCAAATCAAAAATTTGATACCCAGTGGATGTCGTAAAGACTTTGATATTGATACCTTTGGAAGATGAATAAAAATTTCGCCAAGTGAAAGGTCAAGTGCCTAATATGCATGTCACTCTCTCATTTGTCTTATGTCTGACGTCTGTGGGCGGGGACCATGGAAATTAACATGGAATGCCTCGTGCATTTTAAATCTATTATTAGTTAGATATTTTATTTATATTTACATTTTTATTTCACAAATAATGAAAATATAAGGGATCAATGTCTAGTCTATTGGGTATGTCAGGGACATTAACGACAGCTGGAGTTCAAACGTGGGATAATTTATGCATAATGGGCTTCCGGATTCCTTAATTCAATTAACGAAATGACGGTCATTTAAGTCATTATCCATGCAGCATACACAGGACTTTGAAAATAATTCTCCAGATAAAATATCTTCTCGAAATCTAAGATCAAGCCATCGATAGTCACCTGTACATACTAGAGTATACATTTATTGTTTCATGTACATCTCAGTCGTGTCATGCAGAGATTTTCTTCGTATTTTAAATATTTTGCATTAGAGAGCGATTTTTTCATACCAAAATTCTTCGCCAATCCCACGGCAATACACCCAACTGCTGAGAGTAAACTAAACAACATGTAGGACCACCGCCTCCCTATCCTACAATCAATTCACACATATTTATAATGAAGCATTAAATGAAAACATAAGGTAATCTGTCATGTTTCTTATAAAGGCAAGTTCTGATATTATACTTATTTGTTCTATATAACTGGATTTAATTTCTATTCTTGCATTATAAGGATCCAAAATACTATGATTAAGAATGTTATAACAAGCCGTTTAAGAAATGTTGAAAAATTACTCAATATATGTTATTTACTAACTTTTTCATGATATACCATGCAAGAAAATCTCCCGGAATTTCCAAGCAGCTGAGAACAAATATGTTGATATATAGACTTCCGGACAACTTGTCCACACCAAAAGAAATCCCATAATATGTATAGGCCATCGCCATCCTGTCATTGAGAAATGGAAATCTATTAATAGTAACTCGTGAGTTATCAAATAAGTAGAGGAAATTTAATTTTAATTTCAGGTACTTGCCTGTTTTTTTGTGAAAGATAATAAACGCATATTGGCTACGTGTCTTCATCTAATTTTAGTTATTGAAACATTCAATAAATAAATTTTAAAAAATTACCAAGCAAAAGACACGATAACCGCTCTTTTCAGCAGATACCCGTGTCTACAAATATCGACCAATGTGTACTTCCGGTCGATGATGTTTGACTTCTCTACAGCGCCCTCTACTTCCTGGAGGCTAGGACACGACACTTTGTTTATTTTGGCGATTCTATCTATTACTTTTTTGGCTTCATCCATCTTCTTGTGGGAGACTATCCATCGAAAACTTTCTGGAATGATGCTGAATTAAAAACAATGGCAATATAATTACCATCGGGAATAGATACTTCTTTTGCAATTTGTTTAAAATTCTAGCTGATTCCACAATTATTATAACTAAGTTTGTATTCAATTAAAGAGAAGATTCCCACAGCACTTTGCATTTAACAATGCACACAGGTTAAATATCATTCTCAGACTGGTGTGAGGGGTTAACAGTTTACGACATACTCACAACCAACAGGCGAGAAAAGGCACAGATACAGCCCCCGTCACTATCTGTATATACCGCCAGTCAGGGAGCAACCAGGCCAGGAGTCCATAGAAAGCAGCAGCTAGAGACCAGGAAGGGATAGCCTGGATCATGGGGCGCGATTTCATGGGTGTGAACTCAATGATAAACGTCAAATAACTGGCAAGGAATAAACCGGAAGCGATGCCAATAGCAAATCTTAGACTGGCAAACATCTGCCACGAGGTGGAGAAGGAGGCTATAAAATTAGCCACTGCTTGGAGAAGAATGGATATGAAGATAATCGGTTTTCTTCCAAACATGTCGGACAGCTGTCCCGACAGGTACCCGCTGATAAACAGCCCCGCCATCTGAATACTCGTGACGATCCCCGGCACCCAGCTCTCTCGGCAGATTAATCGCCACTACAACAAGATTGCATACTTCTTAAAAATAGCCTCTCTCTCTGTGTGTCTCTCTGTCTCTCTCTCTCTCTCTCTCAGAGCTAAGCTCTTGTCTATTGTCCTGTAGTTTCATCTTTCTCTCAGGGTGCTATATGAACTATATTTGATGCTTAACGATAACAAAGTGTCTTCGTTATTGTGTTGCCCATAATTTTGAACGGTCTTTCATATTTCACTTATGTATTTCTTGTGACAAGACCTTTCCTTTTGTACCAATATTTTTGATCTCCTGATCTTGATTTTAAAGTTTGACCTTCATTTGAAAAATTTAACCTTGGCCTTGAGCTGCCATACGGAGGCATCAGTGTTTCACAGACACATCTTGTTTTTATTTGTGTTTATGTTCTTTATGTTTATACTAATTAAAAACTCAGAAAAAAAATTGATACCGTATGTGGCGAAGAGCATGCTTAAGCAGTCTGCAGGGTATAACTTTGGAGAAATTTGTAAAAAAAAAAAAAAAAAGAAAAAAAAAAAAAAAATTAAACAATCAATAGATTAAACTTTCTCTTAGTGAATATTGTTGCAAATAGATTAACAGACATAAAAATGAATTCTATAGATAGCCACGGCATTAAGTAGTCATCGCGCGACAATTTCAAGATTGTACCGCAAAATTGGGGCAATCGGAAGTTGTGTGGACTGCGTATGGACCCCAAGGCACGGGGAGGCTACTAGGCCATATGATAGTTAATCGTTGTACATTATTGTCCCCCGCTTTCGCGAAAAGGGGGGAACATTAAGGTATCACACCGGTAATTGACCAATCAAAATGAACTTAGTCAATTGTAGTTCCATACATAATAAAGAAATATTTTTTTTATTGTGAGAAATTTTTTAATTTCCCTTATTCTATTTTTACATTTTTGGTATCTGTGCTTAGGATATTTTATGTACTTTGTAAAATATTAAAGGTTTTTGACAGGAACTATTTCTTTCGGGGCATAGGAGGCCACTTCCTGGGGTGCACACAGGATGTTTATAAACACATTGAATACACGTGGTTTTGAGGGTATTCCTGTTTGCGGATGGAAAAAATCAGAAAATGCCGTGTAGGTACCCTATTTTTTGGTGTCAGCTGATGTAACTGGTAACGTTTAACACTTCCTGCTAAATATTTTTTCATGAATTCGAATACCTGATTTTTAATGATTTTTTATTCTATATAGAATTACATAGTGAAAACAATTACCGGTGTGATACCTTGAAGGTGATTGTGTAAAATCATCTACACCCATATTAAAGGCAGTTTTAATTTTATAAAGGCATATTTTAATAAATTATGTCATTTTATGAACTTTCTGTGTGAAAGCACATGTTTTTAAATTTAGAAGCAGGGTTGACATTAATTTATACAGATTTCTATGTAAAATACTAATGATATGTCATGTTTTACCCTCAAAACTCCAAATTATGACTTTCAAAGTAGGATTATGCATCTGACATGTAGAAAGAAGTTAGAAAATGTTGGTTTTTTTTATTTTAGATGACTTAAAACTCTGTGCACCACCTGACCGCAGTCAATTATAGTGTCTACAGACTTTGCCGTAAAAGCACTTTAGGCTGATTTTTTCAAGAAAAGACTAATTCTGGGTTTGCGAATGAGTTTTCAACAAAAGCGACAACTGCGATAAAATGTGAAGAAGTAAAACATGTTTTTAAAAAGTGTTAAATTTTACAGAGACTGGGTTTACTTTCATTTTATTCACCTTATGTGATTCATTTATTCCTGGAGTGGAGGAATAGAAATAATGAAATGAGTTAAATTTGTCTAATAAAAGTAATGCACAAATAAAATTTATTAAGAATTTTTTTAAAAATAAGAAGCTAATGACCAAAAATGCATAAATACTGTCAGGGCATGAGAGTGAATACTTATTCTGAGTTCCAACCATGCATCACACATGTAGTACAGAATGTCACTTAGCACCATGGTATGCCTGTTATGGTTCTCTAGACTTTTTCCATGCTTTCGCAGCTGACATTCAAGATTTTTCGGTTTGCCGGAGAATGTTTTTTGTCATTTTACCACTTTTATGTAGGTGTTGACCCTCTCTTTTAAATTAAGTCTCAGTCAGGATGTTTATTTTAGCATGATTTGTTAAGCACATTAATGTAACAATGAAATAATGTAATAATGAAAACAACTACCGGTGTGATACCTTGAAAGCTCAATCGTCCCTCAGTCTGTCCGTCTGTCAGTCTATCAGTCTGTCAGTCTGTTACAAAAATTTTAACCTTGGTCATAACTTTTGAATGAGAAGAGGAAGGGCTTTCATATTTTACACGTACATTACCTGTGACAAGACCTTTCCAAGTAGACTATGATTTTTGACCCCGTGGCCTTGACCTTGAAGTTTCACCTACTTTTCAAAAATGTTAAGATTACTTTAAATTGGTCATAACTTTTGAATGAGAAAAGATAGGGCTTTAATATTACAGATGTATATTATCTGTGACAAGACCTTTTCAAGAAAACTGATTTTTGATCCCGTGACCTTGACCTTGAAGTTTGACCTCCTTTTTAAAAAAAATAATCTTTGCTTATAACTTTTGATTGAAAAGAGATAGGGCTCTCATATTTGACCTGTGCATTACCTGTGACAAGATGTTTCCATGCATCCTACATGTATGATTTTTGACCCCTTGACCTTGATGTTTGACCTAATTTTATAGAATTTTAACTTTGTTGATTACTTTTGAATAACATACGATAGGGCGTTCGTATTTGACAAGTGCATTATCTGTATCAAAATGTTTCCGAATGTGTTATGATGTTTGACCCTGTGACCTTGACCTTCAAGTTTGACCTTATCTTAAAACATTTTTCAGTGTTGCTAACTTTTGAAGGAGCGAAGATAGGGTATTCATATTTGACACGTGCATTACCTGTGACAAGCATTTCCAAATGTACTATGATTTTAACCCCATGACCTTGAAGTTTGACCTAATTCTCAAAAAGAATTAACATTGCTGGTAACTTTTGATTGAGAGAAGATACGACATTTACATTTGACATGTGCATTACCTGTTTCAAGACCATTCCGATTGTATACTGAGGTTTTTTTCACATTTCAATACTTGTGACAAGACCTTTCGGATTGCATTATGATATTTGACCTCACGACCTTGATCTTGACATTTGATGTAGGTTTGAGAAGCTATAATCTTTGCCATAACTGTTATGCAATAATTTATGTCTTTTTCGTATTATACACAGACAATTAGACAGGACATACAAACAATACAGTTACAATATGCCATCAATAATAGCATCCCATCCACTAAGACACCGAAAGCGGATGACCACAATTCTTAGAATTTGCTTGTTCGAGTTACAACCTCGCTGATCACCATCAGTAATCATCAACTTTATATCTGGGCAAAAACGGTGCGCAATGCACGTCGGGAAATTGATCTTCGGGCAAGAAAGTCATTTAAGGGTCTTGTCATGACACCAAGACATTTGTCAATTCCACTGTATTGGGTAAGATGGCGTATTACATACACTAATGCCGATTAGGCAAATATTTTTTAAACAGACCACGTGATCGGAAATTTAACAAGCCTAAATAACTGAAATAATGCTACACTGGAAGCATCCTGGGCAATCCTCCAGTTTCCTTAAGAGTATTTTTCATAAATTTGATTTAGTTCAATAGACATTATTCCGTTTGCAATATATAGACAATGTCACAATCTTAGTCAGTGTTTGTATAAATGAAACCAAATCATACGAGTATGACACATGAGAATGAGAGAGATCAGAATTAACTAATTCGAAGTATTAATGAGTTCAATCTTTTATTACTTGGATACGTAAATTAAAATTAACTTGAAAGTTTAAAAACCAGTGCATCATCTGTTCTTATAAAAAAAAAATATAAACTAAAGTTTTATGTTACATTTTGATCGATCGTTTAAAATAATAATAAATTAAAGTATTTTGTTACATTTTGTTCGTTTAAAATTAAAATAAACTAAAGTTTTAAGTTTGATATCACAAATTGTAATGGAGACCGTTACAGATGTTCCCCAAATGCTCATCTACTCCATTTTTATGATTTAAGTTTCATTAGATTAGGAAGATTTTTTTTATCATAGATTTGCAACTAATTTTCCAGAGTATTTATGTCGGACAACAACGCACATACATGTATAACTTATAAAGCAAAATAAGTTTAAGCGAATCGGCATTTTATTGCACATGCATACACATGTCGTCTTATTAACCAATCAAAATTGAACACATTGTCAAGTGAATGCATATCCTCGGTATTAATTTCTCAATGATATTATCGGTATAATATAGGGACTTGTAAAATTTAAGGATGACGTTTACTCAGGGTTTTAGTTAACAGAAACGGATTGTTAAAAAGTACAATATCTTAAAACAAAAATTGATCTAAGAGGACAAGATGACAAAGTAATAAGTAAATACCAATGTTAAAAGGACAAGGTGCGTTTGGTACAAAATTTGGCCACGTGTCAAAATAAAATAATATTCCTTAAAACTCTTTGAGAGAGTGTATATTTTCATGAAATTATCAATACATGTATATGCATGTGCAAAGCTTTATTTATGTTTTATATAAACGTAAAAGTAGCATAGTTTTCGATAACGTGATATTTTGACGTTGCTTTATGCGACGTCATGAACAAGAATGGGATGTCATGTTTTAAAATAAATCCAGCTTACATGTATATTTTACTATATACGTACATTAAATCTCATTTTCATATAAACGTACATTTCGATGTATTGGTATACATGTGATAACATACTAGTTCCATGCTTACTAAATTATTTTTCATAATTAAAGACAAATCTTTAACTCAATTGGTATGGTTGGCTTTGAAAATTTTTGAATCATAAGGGAAAAAAGGGGTGTACATGTACAGTACATTCTAAGCGGATTTCTGACTTTCCGAGCCCCGCATTGCCACAAGCAAAGTATTGG